CAGTAGCAGACAAATCTCTTGGAGTCTCTCACTTTATTTTTCTCACTATCTATGTCATAGGCCTGATCACCGAGAAACAGATTCCTGGTTTAAATAAGTAAGGTAAAATATTTTACAAGCTCCAAAAGAAATCTCTGAGATGCTCATTGCTCTTTGTCCCAGCTATTCAAGTATACTGCAAGATAAACACATCATAAAAATACAATCGGTTCCTCTATATGTCAGACAGAACAGCTGGGATGAACCTGAAGCAGCAGCTGTTTATTAGGAACAAGAATTGTTCCCCACTCATCTCGATATGTTGAGGTTGGTTGTGTTAGGAGATCTCACAAAGCTCCTTAGCTGAGAGCACTAAATGCTGAAGGAACTTGTGACCAGGGATGGAGCCACAAGTGACATAAACAGCATCGTTCTCTGTACATTTGCAGTAGTAATGTTGAACTTGTGACACTAAAGCACAAAATACCAATTTTAAATTCAAATTAATGCTGCTATCAAGCTAACAATGAAAACATTCATATGTTAGCTTAATGATTGTCATTCTTATATTTTTTAAAAACAGGGCTATTTCCCCACTCATTTTAGCATAGGATTTCTGCATGAGAATGGGTTGGGATCCTTTTGGCCCTCCAGATGTGTGGGTGTTTTTTTGTTGTCGTTTTTTAATGACCACATTTACCTTGCTGGCTGGTAAGTCCAAGGTACCTCATGGACCGAAGGTTACCAACCCTCTACATCAGACAACCGTGGGAACAAGAATGGGAAACAATTTTCTACCGGAGACCCTTTGCTTCTACAGGTGTTACTTCAGGTATTTTTCATTAACTCCCAGAAGCCCAGCATGACTGGTGGTAAGTGATTATAGGCATTGTTTGGCAAAAGGTGCTTCCACCCATTCTAAGGGCACCCAAGTTTCACTACACTATGACAATGGGTGCAATTTCATCATGTAGGGAAGAGCAATGAGCAGTGGAAGTAGTGGGATCCTATTTATAAGACACCTAAATATAATTACGCATCACACAAATTCCAGGCGACTGTATTTTCACAAATAAGTCTGCTTTAGGAAGGTGTTATAAATTGCTAATAAATTAGCGCTGCTGCATTTGTGGCCCAGCCAAGGGAAGAATTCAGGTAACAACACAGCACACATCCATTGGTGGTTTGCTTCAAATTTCAAGTATGTTGCAATCCAAGAGTTGATGTGCCCAGCTTTGGAAGAATGAAACTGCTTGTGTTATATGGCAGATACTAAAGTGCTTTTTCTAAGAAAAATCAACAGCAGAATAGCTTTAGTTTTTTTTTTAGCACATCCCCCCGATTAATCTACAAATATGTTTATCACTGTTGATGTATGCATGTTTTATTAATGTAAAATGGCTGCCTGAGAGCTATTACTAAAAGACCGAAACCTTTATGTAAACATGCTAACCCACCCACCCCCATTGCAAGCAAGCTGACTCACCATATGACTTCATTCTCATCTCAACTCCATGTGAACTAGCCCTGGGAGAGAGGCACTGTGACACACCAGTAATCTCTGAATTAAAATGGTACTGTAGGTATGATAACATTGCAGATATAACGAAGCACAGAATAAAAGGTACTAGACCTAGAAACCACAAAAACCATGTAGAAGTGAGTAATATGTAATCTCATTAACAGTTGAGTTGATTGTTCAAATATGGCTTATGGCTTCAAGATCTTTCATGGGCCTTCATAATGACCAGCAGGCAAATATATACAAGAATACACAAATACAAATGTTTCGCACAGTTTCTAAACACAGAGTTTAGATGTCATTTTCCTTTTGACGCACAAAAAAGAATACAAACCATCACCCCACTGTGAAATAGGAATATGTGGCAATGGTATCATTTTATTAGCCAGAGTAAAGACATGTAAACTTTTTTTTTGCACCTCAGAAAGCTCACGTCTGCACCTTGGCTTACTGGGAACTTTGCTAGCTTGTCTTAACAAACTGTACCCATTGCCCACATGCTGTGCCTCACATGTTCACAAACAGATCAAGTGTGGACTGCTGCATAAAACCTGATGTACGAGGAAAGGCCCAGTATGTAGGTATGATTGCTTAAAGGCTCAAGATATTAAAAGGCAAAAAAGTGAATGCTCAGACATTCCCTTGTTTTGAAACACTAGATATTCAACGTTATTGCCTTTCAAACAAGCGACAGGATGTAACTGGCATGTTCAAGAGCTAGACAGAAATGCCAAATGGATTGTGAATCACTGCTCAGCCAAAAAAGTGGGTTCACTTCCCACTTAACATTTAAAGATCATTTTGTTCCCGATTCCTGTGAGTGATCACTGTGATGGAACGGCTGCCAACATATATTTGATTCATTTAACCTTCACTTGGAGGAAGTGGGGAGGCATTTATACGCTGCACTACTGTATCTCTAGTCCAGATGATCAAACAAATGCTGGGTAAATTAGGCAGTGAGCTGGAGCCAGATGGGAGAGAGGAAAAGTGGATTTATTCCATGTAAGGACAAAGTGGTATTACGGCTTGAACTCAGCTAGAGTGTGCCCATCATCACAGTCTAAAAAAAAGGGGGGGGGAGGAGGAATAGTCAAGGTCTAATATTAATCTGACTTTAGATGCAAATCTTGGAGTGGAAAGGGATTTACTGGGATATAATCACAAGTCTTAAATCTGTGTTTCCTTCTTGCTAATGTCCATGGGGGGGGTGTTGCAGGGAGAACAGGTGGATGTGTTGAGAACGAGACTTAAAAAAGAGGACACATAGATGAGGAGTTATATACCCTGTTCCTGTCTCTCGGTATGTTCCTGTAAACCCCCTCATCAAATGTAATCATCTCATCAACATATGCATGTTGGTATTTTAAAAAAGGTGGCTTCAAAAGGTCCTTTCCACATACACACAAATGTCTGTTTGGGCATGACAAATGGTATTACCTACATGTGTGAATGAGGCCCTGAAAATTAACATCCAAAGGATTTCCTGCACTGCCTCCAAGTATCTTGATAGCCAGTGCTTTTCACTGGCATTCTTTCCCAACCTGGTGCCTTCCAGATGTTTTGGACTACAGCTCCTATCATCCCTGACCACTTACCATGCTGGATGGGGCCAATGGGAGTTGTGATCCACAACATCCATAGGGCTGCTTTACACATTCAGCAAGTCATTCCATTTTGTCCAGGGACCCTAAACAGAGCAGCACACAAGTGTATCGCAAACTTTTAAGCTTGCAGTAGTAAACTGGATGCATTGATGGAGCAGGAGGCAAGCATGAAGACTTTCAGTACAGCAGCACCTGAGCCTTTTTGTGCAAAACACATGAAGGAAGACAGAGCAGATGTGTAAGTCATGGTTGCCAGGGCAGCAGTGGGTGCAAAGTTGAGTCAGCTGACTTGAGTATGGAAGGAGGGCAATTACTGTGTCCCTGGGCAAGTCTCTACTGGTCCCTTTGCCCGTGCAAGTGAAGAGTGAGGTAGCAGAAACAAAGAAATGTGTCTCCCCTGCACCAATCCTGCAAATAGACTGAGATGCTCAGCAAAGGAGGCTCTTCTTCCCCACCCCTTTGGCCAGTTACTCCCCAAACCCCAATACCTATGCCAGTGAGAAAGAACTATACAATGTGTGTTGAGAATGCAAGCAATTTGTTCAAGTAACACAATAGGAGAAAGCCCCCCCCCCCCGCTTGGCTTGGGGCAACATTTGATTGCAGCGCTATCTAATTCAGTCCAGCCAGGGTCTACATAACTGGTTCTTGCTAGTCCTGCAGTCTGAGAAACAAGAATATGCCTCACAGTCAAGGAGAAGAAGCACCAGTTTCATGGAAAGCAAGAAAGATGCTCCCTCAGCCCCTGACTTGCAGAGGCAACAGTGGATGACGACGGTGTGTTTCAGTTTATTGCTTCTATGTTGGACTCAGACAAAACGTTCTTGGTGAGGGGTCCAGCAGTGCAGTTGGAATGGGTGGGATGGAAGATCAGAGTGGCCTGAGGTGAAGCAATGGCCCTCTCTCCCCAAACTGTCCCTTTTGCAGATGCATCTCAGAGATGCTTGAGGCATCACACCATGGGGCATCCAGGTTAAGTGTAACCTGTTCTCTGGAGACGGAAGAGCATAAATTCATGATGAATGACGGACACTCCTGTTGGGCCAATCCATGGCTTTTGTGTAGGTTCTGGGCTCCTTAAGCTCCTGCAGATAGATGCACCTGGGATAACTCTCCATTGGCAAAGGCTACCAAAACCAACAGACACAAAAAAGTGCTTGCTCCTCCAGGAAATTTTCAAGAAGAAGACGGAGTTCACATCCATCTTCTCCAGGACGCCTCTGGAGCCACGGCTGGTTATTGTTCATTCAAGCTTGCTATGATGATGGAATGAGATTCCCCTGAGCAACATCCCTGCAGCTTCCTCCATGAAGGAGAACAAAACACAAAGCCACCTTTAAAATAAAATATTTAAAAATCTTCCCAAGGCTATGTGAGGGGCTTGGCCTTGAGTCTTAAAGGAGTTAAAAGTCAGACACTGTACACTTCCCAGTGGTGGACTGGCTGCAGGGAAGGCCAGCATTGGGAGAAGGATGAAGTTCAACTTCTGGAGATCATGCAGCTGGAGTGGGAAAGACCTTGGGACAAGGAGGAGAGAGGGAAAAAGCAGTTGCATCAAGCACTGGGTTTGTGGATTTGCACAGCTCATCAACACATTCAAAATCAGATTTGTGCTGCCAATCTGGTGACTAAAAAAGGAGTGCACACACTGTGAATTGAGTGCTCACACACTGCTAAAGGTGAGACAAGAACAAAGGAATTAATCCAAGCTTAGCTTTTCTCGTGCTTGCAGCCAAAGGCACAGATGTTGGGTCACTAGACTAGAAGTATGGAAAGAGCCTTGCTGGATCAGAGCAGGAGGCTCCCTGGTGCAGCACTCTTGCTTCCCAAAGAGGCCAAAGAGAAGGCCATAGGTAGGACACCAAGGCCTAGGGAGTAGCCAACAGGTGGGGAATATAAATCATCCTGCATATGTTGTTTGGCTGCACTTCCCATCAGCCCTAGCCAGTTCAACAGTATCTGGAGACACAAACAGCCACCTCAGATTTCTGGTCCCTGCTGTAGCCTTTGCCCATCATGTTGAAAAACTGGTACCCTGAATCATGGGGTTCCACTGACAGACAGTTGCTGCTCATAAACTTCTCCTTGATGACAGCCTTCCCCAGCCTGAACCTCTGCAGATGGTTGAACTACAACTCCCATCATATCCTGTGAACTGTAGTCCAACACATCATATTGGGGAAGATGGCTCTGAGTTTGCCTACTGTGTTATAATTGCAGGAGACAATTTTGTTCCAGGTAGGGCAAGAAAAGTATATTAACATTCCAAATGACATCTCAGATTAAGTAAGGAAGAAAGCATCTCAATAATCATAAACATAGTAATTATTAAGTAAGGAAGAAAGTATCTTAATAATCGTAAACATAGTAATCTTCATCACCATAACTGTTGTTGCTGTTATTGTTTACATTTTTATCCTACCCTTCCCAAAAAATGCAGCAGAGCACACGTGTTTTATATCACTCCACTACATCCTCACAACAATCGTACAAGACAGGTCAGTCTCAGAATGTGTGACCAGCCCATTCAAATTCCCTGATCCTTGATCACAATGCCAAACTGACCCATCCTGTATAAAAAAGACAAGCCTCCCTGGAGTACACAAATACACTGGAGTGTTGGCAGCTAGCACGGCCACAACTAGGATGCCTGTAAGATTCTGACAGGTATAGTACAAAAAGAAAAGAAAAAACCGACCCCAGGCTCCAAGCCCTGCGGCCGACTAAACAGACTGTTGAGATGCTGCAACCTCTACAGCAGCATCTCTTCCTGCCATCACCTCTGCTACCAAAGCCCACCTACCCTTGGCTGGTTCAGTTGTCTTCTGAATAGCCTTTGGACCAATATCTCCTTTCCTCGTCTTTGCTGCCCGGCAGTTGGCGGTGCATCTCCAGCCTGGCATTCGGTCTCTTCCTTGGCGTCTCTGCCCAAGCAAGCTGCTCAGTGGAGCCAAAAGGTTTTCTTCTGGAACTAGGAACAAAATCTTTGTTTTCATCCTGCAGCAAAATCAGGGGTGGGGGTGGGGGGAGAGATTGGGTGCTTTAAAATAGGATGTAGCCCCTGCTGGAGTCACTTCCAGCCAAACAACACAAAGCCCTCTTCCTTCCCAAAGGTGACCTTCTGCTCCTTCAGAGCACCACATCTTGCTTGGAAAAGTTATTAAAGAGGACCAAAATTCCCAGCATCATCCCTTTCCCAAGATTTGCTAAATCTGGTTCTCAACAAAACATGTTCTGGGGCAAAACCAGAAGTCAATGTTTGTATACTTTAACATACTGTGTTTGATCCATTCAGTAGTCACTGCTGTTTGCTTTACATACTGTCCTTTAATATTGTAAGCCACCTTGGGTCCTTTTTGACAAGAAAGATGGGGTAAAAATGTCATTTGTTCATTGATAAACAAACAAACAAATAAATAAATGTTCCACTAGTTCAAATACTATGCTAAAGTAAGTTGCAGTTATAGTAGGCTTATTTGAAATCTTTTGTCTTTGCTGGAGGGAAGGTGAGGTACACAGGACATGAAGGATGCAAACATTGTCACATTGTACAAGAACAAAGGAGACTGGGGTGACCGCAATATGTGGCATCTCTCTTCTCAGCGTTGCAGGGAAGCTGCTTGCACGTGTTGTGCTGAAGAGGCTCCAGGTGCTTGCAGACAGAGTCTATCCAGTGTGGATTTTGAGCTAATAGATCCACCACTGACATGGTATTCTCCTTCAGACAGTTGCAGGAGAAATGCAGGGAATGACGACGGCCACTCTTTGTGGCCTTCATAGATCTCACAAAGGCCTTTGATTTGGTTAGCAGGGATGGCCTTTTTAAAATACTTCCCAAGACTGTGTGCGCAGGGATACTCCTTAACATCATCAAGTCCTTTCATGAGGAAATGAAGGACACTGTAGTTTTTGATGGCTCAACATCAGATCCCTTTGACATCCGAAGTGGAGTGAAACAGGGTTGTGTCCTCGCGCCGACCCTTTTTGGGATCTTTTTTGCTGTCATGCTGAAGCAGGTCTTTGGAACTGCAACCGAAGATGTCTATCGCTGGACTAGATCAGACGGAAAGCTCTTTAATCTCTCTAGACTGAGAGCGAAGACCAAAGTCCAGCTGAAATGCATGTGGGACTTCCTCTTCGCAGATGATGCAGCTGTTGTTACCCACTCTGCTGAAGACCTCCAACCTTGGGTCTCCGGATGTTTTTGCACTACAATTCCCAGATGCCTTCACTACTTCCTGTGCTGGCCAGGATTTCTGGGTGTTGTAGTCCAAGAACATCTGAGGACCCAAAGAAGACCTCCAATTCATGAATCACTTTAGCAAGGCCTGCCAAGATTTTGGATAAACAATCGGCCTGAAGAAAGCAGTTTTGATCCTCACTATAACTCTTTTCCATGGTGCTTCCTCCATTAGGCTTGCACTCTCCTCTGCGCTCTCCTCTTCTGCCTTCCCTTCTTGTTCTTCCACCTCCAGTGCCTCCATTGACTACTGCTGCTGCTCAAGAGTTTTGTCAATGTATACTTCATCCTCCCTTATAGCCTTAAGTGTGGCTACTCGCTGCTTTAGTTCTCTCACTTTTTCTTCTAACAGTGCCACCAGTTCACTCTTCCTGCATGTGTATGTTGTGTTACAATCAGGCACAAAGATCAACATTGCACAAATTTTGCAGGTCACCACAACTGAGGTGTATCTTCCCTCCATAGTCCCTACTAGCTCCTTGCTTTGATCTGTTTGTCTATGAATGCCTCTTCCTTTATTTTGTTACCTTGAACGTAGCTGGAATAATCCACTAAAAAAACCAAAGATTTTGTTAGGAGCCTCCCTTGGAAAACTCCCTCATGAAACTTCTGTTAGCAATTCCTGTTTGCTCACTATGGTAGCAAACTCCCTGGGTCTGCCTCAGCTTTATTCGTCAGCTATATTCTATTAGGAGTCAGTAATCAAAAAGGCCCTCCCAGAACTCACAGCTACTACTTACAGCTCTCAGTAGTAATCAGGATACACCCCTTCCTGTTGCTGAACTCCCAGCCCTTCCTTATCCCAGTAGGTCATATTGAGATTAAGGCACAATCTAGACAGTTTCAGTTAAGTAAGGCCTAAGGATGTAGACAAGACATTGGCATGCTGTAAAACTACAGTACTACCTCTTTTTTCGATCCTTGCCCATCTTGGCTATTAAAATCTGTCAAAGATACAATGCTAGAATGGGCCATGCCTGTCATCAATGCTTCTGTTCAGGAAGGCCACGTGGCCTCCTATTTAAAAGAAACTATAACACCCATTCTTAAGAAAACTAATTTGGCAACTGATGATTTGAATGACAGACCCACCTCAAATTTCCCATTTTTGGACAAGTTACTTGAGAGGGTGGTGGCTGATCAGTGACAGGCATTCTTGGAATTAGTGGATAGTCTGGATCTATTTCAATTGGGATTTAGGCCATGGTGTGATACTGAAACAGCACTGGTCACGGTGCAAGTTAATTTCCTATGGGTGGCAGACAGGAAGAGTGTAACCTGCTGGTCCTCCTGGATCTGTCTGCGACCTTCATTAATGTTGACCATGGTATCCTTCTGGGAAGGCTATTGAAGTCAGGGATTGTGGGCTCTGTTCACTGCTGGCTTCAGCCTTCTTTGATGGTCAAGCCTACATGGTGCAGCTTAGGGATGCCATATCCATCACCAGATCTCTTCTATGGGGTCCCATAGGAGTCAACCATCTCCCCAGTGCTTTTTAACATCTATATGAAGCTGCTAGGAGAAGTCATAGAAAGATTTTGGGCATGCTGTCACTAGTATGGTTAGAGGGAAACCTACCTGGCCTTGATGGGGTTGCAACTACCCTGAAGGATCAAGTCCACAGCCTGGGGATACTCATACATGATTCAAATAAATAAATAGACCTGTGCTGAATAGGGTAACACTGCCCCTGAAAACTCAGGTTTCTAGCTTGGCCATATTTCAGGATTCTTCTTTGACGCTGCAGTCTCAGCAGTCACTAGAAATGCATTTAAACAATTAAAACTACTGCACGACCCATACCTGTTTTCTGAGAAATCTGACTTCACTACAGTAACACACACCTTGGTTACCTCTCATTTAGATTACTGTAATGCACTCGCCATGGGACTGCCTCTGAAGATGGTTCGGAAGCTTCAACTGGTGCAAGATGCTTCAGCCAGACTGTTGACTGGGGCTGGTTACTGGGATGATGTGACACCCGACCTCCAGTTACAACAGTTTCACTGGCTGCTGATGTGTTTTTCTGGACCCTATCCAAAGTGCTAGTCATGATCTTTGAAACCCTTTACGGCTCAGGTCAAACCTATTGGAAAGACCAGTGTCTCCCAGTGTGAGCCCCTCCCTGCTGAATTAAGATCCTCAGAGGAGGGCCTTCTCTCAGTCTCATCACTGTCACAAACACATTTAATGAGGACTTGAGAGAGAGAAAGGGCTTTTTTTGCTCCCAGATTATGGAACACCCCTCCTCAAACACTGAGGCAGGAACCTTCACTTGCTTTTAACTATTTATGGATTTTAAATATTTGTGTACGCTGCCTTATTTCCCCACTAGGGGAGAAAGGCAAGATAAAAATAAAACACTTTAAATAATGAACTAAACACACACACACACATACACACACACACACACACACACACACAGAGGCATTATAAATTCGACCAAAGGAGAAAGATAACAAAACATTGCAAAGAGTAAATGTAACTAAGGAGAGAGAGGGAGAGAGAGAGGAGAAGCTCAACACACTGAAGACTAGCAATTTCAACAGCAACAGCATCTTCCACACAGCTGCTCTTTGTGCAACAGACAGACAGACAGAAACACTGGGGAGCGGGGGGGGGCAGGCTCCTGACCCTGAGCTCCCATCTACTATGCCTTAAATTTTCTGGGGTGGTTTTATAAAGGTATAGAAAGTCTTCAGCGTGACTCAGAGAAACCACAAAGAAACTCATAAGCCCGCATCTGTCTGTGTCTAGTATACGGAGGCCTATTATCATGACAGGTTCCAAAGAGCCCCACTGAAATGAACGGAAACTGCATGTTTACTTCAAGGGGTCTGGAAAGGAGGCCTTCCATCTGGATTATGTCCCCAGTCTCTCTCCTGCAACGCTAGAGATCTTTTACAGACACTGACCAAAATCCTAGTGGGGAAACTGCATGCTTACAGCATCCGGCTCTTTTGCTGTGACCAGAATGTGGGATTGGAGGGGATGGCAATCGACCCTCCGAGACGACTCCCCCTCATTGACTACAATCAATGTACAGAAATAATCATGGCCTCTCAGGGCGGTAGCAGCATTGCTACCTGACAGATCCACGTCTGCCCTCAAATGCTCCCAACATGCCCAGACTGGGAGAACACTGCCAGAAGAACATTAAAAGTGGCAGAGCTTCACACAGACATATGAGAGACCTCTGGGGGAACAACTGGCATTTCACAAATGGAATCCCCTCTTTCCAGACAGCACACAGCACATGTGCCACTGCTCTAGAGCCATTCAGCCGGCCTCAGATTGCTGTGTTTAAGATTGCTCCCTGTATAAATCAATCAGAGGAGCCAGTGTTATTAGTCTCATATCACAGATGATGGGGCAGGAGCAAAGCTGAAAAGAGGCAGTGACAAAAGCAAGCATTGTCATCCCTCACGCAGTATCACTCTCCTCTCTTGAGTTTTCACCACATTTTGAACTGCAACCATCACTTCATAATGCAAACATTTTAAACTAGAAGAGTGTAAAAAAACACTTACTGGTAACACCGTGCAATTCCAAGCAGCAGTTGCTGGAGGCTCACAGGCGTCACTCTTCTGTCTGGGAATCTCAGATACACTTAAGCTACTTTTGGTCCTTCTAGAGTCTGTTTCTGGAGTATTCCAAGAGTTTATGCTGGCACTGGCCCTTCTGGAACTCTGCTCAATTGCATATATACGTGCACTAGTTCCTTCCAGTTTGGCAGGCTCCGTGGATGACCTGTATGGATTCCGAGAGGCCATGTTTTCATCCATTTTGGTTGCAGAGTCTTTCGAAGCCTGCAAACCCTGCCTCGTTTGCCACGCACTCCTGACTGTAACATGCTTCATCTCAGGTGAGTTTTCCTCTGAAGAACCATGACTCTTCCAATTGATTGTCTCCATGGGTGGTTCGCTGTTCTTCTCAAGAGGTTCTGAAGGTTTTATCATAATGTTACTCTTGGAGACTACTGTTTCCACCGTGCTTCTCAAAACAGCATCCCCATTTTTGTCAGTCTCTGGTACCTTCAGGGATACATTGCTTTTGCTAATCGATATCTCGTATGATGTGCCGGCTGCATTTGCTCCTGCAGAGAACTCATTTGGAATGACTCTGGTATTGCTGGGGGACAGATGCTGCTGTTCCTTGGTGGCTTCGCTGGTGTTGGTCCTTTGAGTGACTGGCTCAGATGGGTAAATAGTGATGCTGCTGGTCATTTTGTGCGACACAGTCTTGAAGACAGGGTGCTGTTTTTCTGAGCTGACTTCTAACCCTGGCCCCGAACCGCCCATGATTTCCTTCACATCCTTTTCCACAATTGCAGGCTTGATGATAACTTTAGATCTCAGAGCTTCCCTTGGACCAAATTGCCTTCTTGATTTTAAACCTTTTGTGGCACCAGTTGCATTTGTTCTGGCTGACCTGCCAAGTTCCTCTTCATTACATGAACTTTTGCCATTCTCAAATGGAGAAGCCCAAATGGCTCCCCTGGGACTTGTGAATTCTCTGGAAACAGGTTCCTTTTTTGCCCCTAAATCAAAAGAAGTAGGTGTGGTTGTGGCTTTACTTGACTCTTCAGCAGTGCTGAATTTGTCATGGCTACCAGGATTGCTAACTTTGGCTCTTGCAGAAGTAGGTTTTAGGCCTCCTTTGTTAGAACTTACAACAGAGATCTGATCCATTTCTTCTTTCCGAGGAATGGGGTGACTCTGCAAGAGATCTTCCTGGCTTCTTGAAATGAGCCAAGACTTTGCTAAAGGTACAGGCTTTGGTATGTCAAGAGAAGCATCAGCAGGCTCTTTTTCTGGAGAGTTAGTTATCTTCACAGAACTATCTTCTAAGTGCTGCCTGTGAGACGAGATAGACGCCGAGGTTTCCATTTTGGAGCCAGTGGATTCAGCAGCTAACATTTCTGCAGAAAGATGATGCCGATAGGATGAAGCAGATCCACTGGGTGACCCACAATTCATTTTTGAGGCACGAGACTCGGGTGATTCTGCAATATGTGCCTTAATTCCCTTTTCGGAAGACAATAGTGTAGTTTCAGCTTTACTGGACTTGTCTTCAGATTCAACAGATTTACAGTGGTAAGTGTCATTCAGCAGCTGGGACGGTTTTTCAATCTTTCCTCGTAATGAACTGTCATTCTTGGGTTTTGAAGAGGCCTTCCAAGTTTTGTGCTCCTGAGCAGCAGGTGGGTAACGGCTAAGCACAGATGGCTGCTCTCTAGATTTTTTCACTTCAGCTGATGGGACGCCACTATCTTTTGGTGAGGGAATGTGTACCCTGTCTAAGGCGGACCTGTCTTCTCCTCGTTTACTATCAGTTGCTAATCTGTCTAATAATGCAGATGTACTAGATGCTTTGGGGGTTCTCCTGCTGTTCAGATTAGAACTTGTAACCTGCTTGTTACCTTGGCCAGAGCCCTCATTGTTGAATGAGAATTCCCGATTGCGAATCCTGTCCCGTCTGTGCTGAGGTGAAAGTTCCCGAGACTTAGGCTTCGAAATGGCTGACTCAGCTGTGACAGCTCTGTGCTTGGGTCTGTCATGCTTGATTCGGCTAGGCACATTCATTTCTTCTGTTTCTGCCTCGCCATTCTCCAGCTCCTTTTGTTTTATCATCTGCATTTTTATTTCTTCAAGCTGGCCTAAGAGGAGCTTATTTTTATTTTGTTCACTCAAATAACTGTCATGCAAGTCATTGTTTTTGGCTCTAAGAGCTTTAAGTTCTTCTTCTAAAGATGCAAAATGTTTGATTTGAATCTTCAGTTTCTCAATTTCCTGGTTGAGGTCCTTCACTTTGTTGTCTTCTTGGTTTTTATTTTTCTGATTTTCAGATTTGTTTCGAGTTTCATTTTCCACAAGCTTTAGGTAGTCCAAACTCCCTTTTCTTCTGGTTTCTTTTGAGGATAGTGCTGAAGTTGTTAAGTCAACTTCAATCCTCATGTCATTCCTCTCAAGAATACTGTTGGATGATCGTTCCAGCAGGTTTGATGCGTTTCGAGTTTGATCTACCCGATTAAGTTTATTGTTTTGTTCTAGCTTTTGAGTTAACTCTTGTATTAACTTCTCGTTCTGCTTTTCCTTTTCTGTGAAGTGTTTTCTTTCACTAACAAAAACAAGAGCCAGTGATTTCAGTTTTTCCAGCTCACTCACCAAACTCTGTTCAGTTTTATCCAGCCTGTCTTCTGATTGCTCAAGTTCTTTTACTTTTGCCCGAAGAACTTCCAGTTCAGTTGAGATTTTTTTGGTCAGATTTTTCTCTTCATTGAGGCTGAGGCACAGCTGAGTACAGTCATTTTTACTCCGACCAAAGGCCTCCTCAAGTTTCTCCAGTTCTGCCATTCGCTTCTGAAGTCGCTCAATTTCGGTTTTCAGCTCCCGAGTGAGACTTTCTTCCTCCTCAAGTTTTTCCTTCATCAGCTGACACAGTTCCTCAGCTTTTCTGATCTCCTCATCTTTTCCTTCTATTTTCAGAACTCTTTTCCTCAGAGCTTCCACATCAGCCAACATGCTCGAGTTACTACCTTCCGCCTGGATAACTTTGTCCTGCAACTCTAGCAGCTCATCCTCTGCCTTCTGGAGGTTTTTGGTGGCTTCTTCTAGTTCGTCAAGGCGGCGGCTGAGGCTCTGAAGCTTGAAACGCAAATGGCGATTAGATGTTTCTTTATAAGAATAATCCGCCATGTTTCTTCTTGGCTTTTTTCCCTTCTTTGTTTAATGGGTAATAGATTTTTTTGCCACTTTATTGCTCTTGTTGGTTCATAAAGCTTCTTGGGTAGACAACCAGCGCCTGGAAGGAAAGAACAGAAAGTGAATAAAATAGAAAGGAAAGGATTTTTCCTACTTCAAGAGATGCAACTCAAAAAAAGTTCAGTTCTCAGGTCTAACCTCTAGAATTTACAGATAAGATTTAAACAGATTTCTGGCTGAAACATTAGAATGCCAGTTGGTGGAGACAATCCTGAGCAAGATGGAATCAGGGTCAGATTCCCTGAAGTGCTTAAGTGTTGCTACTAAAGATAGAGAGTACTGGGAGCAGGCACGGGGATGGTATCCCCCACATGCAGTCTGATTTGATGTGCTCTACTCTACAACTTCAGGATTCTGCTATTGCATTTAACTGCAAAAACAGACCTGGCCAGAGGCAGTAATTTCAGAGTCTATTTGTTACATTTGGACCTGATCCTGCACATGTAGCAGGCTGAGGTAGTGGTGTAGACCGCACCATGCCAGAGTATGGGAGAGAAGATATAAGTTCATTGCTTGTCAAGTTGAACAAAACCTTGATCAGTGATATAAGTTTCTTCCTGCTATGATGGTTTTCAGTTGACACGGAGGATTTAAAATAGGAGGAACATTTACTAATGTCATTTCCCACTCCTACAACCTCAAGTGATACAAGCCACTGTACCACCTCAACATTAGTCCATCTCATTCATGACTACTATACCACATAAGTTGTTAGTAATGAAAGGAGGTAAAGTGAATTTCAGCAGTGTGACAATGGCCTGCAAATTCACATTAAAATAAAGCATGCTGGTAGCATGTTCCTTGCTTTATACCCCAACTGTACTTCTAGAAGCATAACTTAACAACAAAGGTCCATACTCCCCATTTCCCTTGTTGACAATGAAAGTGTGGCTTTTGACACAATCAACACAATGCCAAAATGCAGTAGCAACATTCAAAATTCAGGCGCAAGGCAATGATTTGAAGATGCGAGCCTCCCAATGGATTAGTGAGAGGCAAAGAATTTAGCCGCCGCCACCCCACCAGAAAAGTGCCTAACCTTGAGTTAGAAAAGGACCAAGACAATGCAAGTTCACATTCCACTGAAAAATGAAATTCACTTTAGGGTTGATATTCTCTTTCATATTGGAGGATTTGCGAGGCTAAATTAGGGACAGGTTTCCCTGTGGGTCACTATGACTTCTCAAAGGAAGGACGAGGTGTCAATGCAGCAGAACAATATTTGACAAGTAAACACCAGCAAGAGGAGGAGAGCGAGATCACTGTTTGTTATATTGGGCTCACAAATGGCCTGACAAAGACAACACGGAGGAAGCCAGCATTTGCAAGCCCACCATTCCCTGGCGTCCAAAATGGAAACAGAAGAATGCAGCAAAGGGGCATTAAGGATCACGGAAGCGCCTTGCTGTGAAGCCTAGTTGGAAATGACTCACATCCCACAGGCAGAAGGTCATTCAGCAGCAGCAAAGTCACCTGCAGGCAGACCAGGCTCTTTTCCTGAAGTCACCACACTGAGCAGAAGGCACGGACTGTGCTCTGTGCTTCTAGACACCTGCAGCCAGAATCTTCAGCAAATCTCCTCCCCCAACTTTCACTAAGTGGGCTGCATTTTTTTCTTGGTTCTAATCATAATGAGAGACTGGATAGATCAAGAAGTAGAATTTAGACAGACATGGACAAACAAAAGGTGACTTGGAAAAAAACAAATAATGTCTAATTTAATGATGGCATCACACACCTAAGCATGCCAAAATATACTCCTGTATTCTCCATTATCTGCTAGGAACTTTTCAATCACTTCCCAGTGCCATCCATTTTAGAAAGGCAAAAGCCTTTATCTCGATCCCTACCTTGGATAAGAATCCCATATAGAGTACCTCTGTTTCTTTGAAATATTCTTTTCCCTACCAACTGATGAGCAACATAGGGCTGCACAAACCATGTCCCAACATTCTCCTTGACTACTTTAAATGTATTGAGGAGACCCTTTTAAACTGGAAGCAAGGAAAAACTGGGTTGGATTTGGAAGTTGAGAATCTTCATTTGCTGCAAGTCAGAGCTCGGCAGTTATTCCTTCAGACCACCACCACTAGATTCCCTCAGTGACCAAGGTGGTTCGGGGCGGTGGCGTCCACCAGGTCATGAATATTCATATGCCATCTGTACAGACCAATGGGAATGCCGGAGGGACAGAGTCACGAGATATAAGAGACGCAGCAGGAGGAGGGAGAGTTGAAGAGATTGAGAGTTTTGGGAGTTTGAGCGGGAAAGTGGTGGTTGAGAGGGGATTAAGGAGGATGTTTGTTAAGAGTTAACAACATTGCTTGAATCATCTACATCTGTAACAATAAACGATTTCTATTTGGGTCTTTTAAAATGATATATGGCCTGGACCTTGATTAGGTATTGTTCATGTGACCCTCCCAATGGATTAGTGGGAGGCAAAGAATTTAGCCGCCACCACCCCACCAGAAAACTGCTGAGAACTCCCGGAAGTACAAGCTGGATTTCGAAGGGGCAGAGGAACTAGAGACCAAATTGCTAACATGTGCTGGATTATGGAGAAAGCCAGAGAGATCCAGAAAAACATCTACTTCTGCTTCATTGACTACGCAAAAGCCTTTGACTGTGTCGATCCCAAAAAATTATGGCACGTTCTCAAAGAAATGGGAGTGCCTGACCACCTTATCTATCTCCTGAGAAACCTATACGTGGGACAGGAAGCAACAGTTAGAACTGGATATGGAACGACTGATTGGTTCAAAACTAAAATTACTAAAAACTGAGTCTTAAATCTTATTTTTTTCTTTTAATTGATTTATAATTAAAGAAAAAGAGGGGAAGAGAAGGGTTTTTTTCTGTTTTATCAAACATTAAGTAGAATGCAAAAACCAACTAAAAAGATCAGAGGCAAGGTTCTAGTTGTCGTTCTGCCAGATGGCAGTGGCTTCCCCCACCAGCACCTTTTGCCCACGCCAGTGGTTATGGTGTGGGACTATGGTGTAGTAGGAGAAAACATATATGTTCACAGATTGGCAGAGGTTAACTATTGGGTATTGTTATGTTAATTTTAAGTTTTAGTTTATTTTTGTTAATTTGGTGGGAGGAGAGGTTGCAAACGGGGCCTTTTGGAAGGAGAACTTTTCAATTCACATGGGTAAAAGAATAAGACTTGCAACTTTAAACGTAAAAGGCCCGGGATCAACAGTGAAAAAAGAAGAATAGAAGCACTACTGGAGAAAAACAAGGTGGACATTGTCTTTCTGCAAGAGACACATCAATCAGCAAATGGAGTCAATGAATTAAAGATGAATATAGACATATATGAAAAAAATGGAACTTCTACATCTAGAGGTGTGGCAATTACAATTTTTAAAAACTGTAAATTTAAAGTGGAACAGGTAGAAAAACATGGACATGGAGCTGGAAGTCATTTACCGGTCTGAAAGTAATTTTATTCTGTCAGTATTGGTAATGGGAACATGGAGTAATGAGTTCGAGGCACTAATATGTATCAATGCCTACTGTCCATCCAATAAAACAGAAAATCTCACCTCTTTCTGGAATGAATTGGAAGAAGCCATCAACCGCTGCGAGGTCCTGCACCGGAGAGCAGCTATAGTTTTGTGTTGTGACTTTAATGCCAGAGTTGGCTCTGGCTTAACTGAGATGGTATTTGATTCAGACCTAGAGTATAACAAACCCTTCTTATCTGACCATCTTTCTTTGGATGAAGTCCTCAATAAACAAGGTAGGATGCTAGCCAAGACAATGTGTGAACTACAACTAATTTGCATTCATGGCAGCTCTCAGGATGACTCAAAAGGATATTTCACCTTTCTTAATAGTTGGGCAGGAAGTGTCATTGATTATATGTTTTGCTCCCCTAGGTTGGTGTCCCAGGAGACAAAATATAATACAACATTAGATTGATCTGATAGCGACCACCTACCCATCTGTCTCTCCATTCCCCTGACAACTCCACAGTTGTCCCCACCACCAGCTGATTGGGCAGAGAGAACTATGGTTGTTGGGAAACGCTTAAAATGGTCACCCCTTGTCGACCAAACAATTCGGGAACAGCTAAAGAACCCACATCTGCTGAGTACACATAGGGATATTGTAATAGGACATAGGGATCCAATAGAGGGCATCCAATTCAAACTTAAGACCTCTGTTAACCAAAAAGCGACAGGAGCCTTCCCTGGCCCCTCATAGAGGGGCATGGTATGACCAAGAATGTAGATTAGCTAAAAAGCATCTAGCTCATTTAACAAGGAAGACGAGGAAGATGCATTCAAATTTGAATCTGGAGGCGCTGGCTCATTACCACTCAAAATATAAGGAACTTTTAAAGCAAAAGAAATGGGCATTTATGTCAGCTCAGTGGGAGGAACTAGGGCAGGCTGTGCTGGAAAGAAAAGAGCGAAAATTCTGGAGAATGGTCTTTAGGGCAGGCTGTGCTGGAAAGAAAAGAGCAAAATTCTGGAGAATGGTCTCAGCTGTGGATAGAGGTCCCCATCCTGCACCAAATGCCTGCATCATGGCAAATGCCTGGTGCCACTACTTTCAAACTATTTTCAATAGTGATGTAGACACTGGGCCACAAAAAGTGAGAACCCACCAGACCCTACTAAATTCCATACCCGAATGGCCCCCAGTAATGGAACAGGAAGTGTATAAACTTATTGACGCTCTAGCAACAAAGCACCTGGAGGAGAGGACAGGATCCCACCATTATGATGAGAAGAACTGATGGAAATCCCAGATACAGAGCATGAAAATATTGGTTCAGAAATCTAGTGTATAGTAAGCACTATTATTTGTATTTTTGTATTTGTTTTTGTTCTAAAAATAATAAAAACCATTTTTTTTTTGTTCTAAAAATAATAAAAACCATTTTTAAAAAGGAGGCTGACCGCCGAAGAATTGATGATTTTGAATTGTGGTGCTGGAGGAGGCTTTTGAGAGTCATCCCCTGGACTGCACAGAGAACAAACCTATCCATTTTGAAAGAAATCAACCCTGAGAGCTCACTGG